ATCGGGTGATGTGTTATCGCAGCAGTGATCACATACCGCGATTTTGAGGATGCCAGGGAGCAACGACGGTGAAACTTCGTCGACGCGTCAGATGCGGTCGTCGGAGGCGGTCGCCGATCTTGACTGCGAAAGCCACAGACCATTTCGAATTCCAGATGTCATGCGCAAGATGGTGACGTCAGCGTGTGTCAGTGGAAGGGAACTTTCGTGGTTGTGAGCAGCTCACATCGTGGGTTGAAGATCGCGTGCATGTCGACTCGTGCGTGATAGACGGAGCAGGCGGTGATGTAGAGGAATACTGGCACGACCGACTGCATTGCGATATCCTAAGTAGACTGGGGGAGGACGACCCGCGAGCCAGGGTCCAAGAAAGTGTACCAACAAGCGATGTCGAGCACGCCAAGACTCGAGGGCGATGCGACTTTCTCCACGCGTCAGATGCGGTCGACGGAGGGTGCCAAGACTAGAGGGCGATGTTGAGGACGCCAACAAGCGATGGTAAGGGCGCCAACAAGCGATGTTGAGGACGCAAACAAGCAATGTTAAGGATGCCAAGACTCGAGGCCGATGACTGTGAAATCCGCAAGCCATTGCCCGTCGCTGACGTCACGTGCAAGATGATGACATTTGCATATGCCGTTGCATGGGGTCTTCCGTCGTTGTGATCGGTGGGCGTCGTGCACTCAAGATCGTGCGCGCGTGATTGGCGATGTAGGTGGTGGCAAAGAACAAGACTTGCACGGTCGAAGAAGCGGAAGGGCAATGGGAAGAGGTTTGGGGCTTGAAATAGTAATGGGGTCGAGCAGGGGGCGTGGGCTTCTTACTGACCTGCGAGTCGACAAACGCCTCCAGCCAACACAAGAAAGCACAGCGCGAACGTGACGACGCGCAAGGTCTACAGTCGCGTGATGTTTTCGTAAGCGCCCCCGGCTATCGACGATTGCTGGAAGAACGAGGGCCTGGATGCGCAAGGGGCCTGCGATATAATGCAGGTGACTTCCAGTGAAGGCGGACGCGTCGCAAAGGCAGCACACAGAAAAAATGACATCAGCGAACGGGTGTGACAGCCTCCCCCATTCGTTTGGTGCCCGACAGGAGAACGGAGAGTGCAGTGAGTGGGGCTTGAGGGGCCCTTCAGCTGCCCGCCGCAGGTACTGCCGCGTCGGGGGCTGTGACATCAGGCGGTCCCTTTTTTGACGGACCCTCCTCACGAAATCGCACGGTCCGAAACCGTCGCGGGAGGGCGGGCCGTGATTGCRAGAGGACYGRCCTTTTTTCACCGTGCTWTCGACGGTCCCAACKCATCRTCTGGCGCAAATTTTCCCGCCCACTTTTGAATATCGGGGCCCGCGCGGATTTTACCGTGATATCGACGGTTCCAACGCGTCATCCGGCGTGACTTTTCCCGCCCACTTTCGTTTCTTGGGCCCCGCTCAGATGTATCCGCCATTCGAATGACAGTGGCGCCATTCCGCAAATTTGCAGGTGGGCATTGCAATCCCTCACGGCCGAAAATGCCCGTCGCACGCCCTGACCACCTGCCCTTGCCAGCGACATAGCCATCTCGTCGCCGAGGGACACAGCCATCTCGTGGCCGTCTCCCCCGCCGTTTGCCTCGCTTCTCTCTCTCTCCCTCGTCGCCATATCCCTCGCCTCGCCATCTCCTTCGCGTCGCAATCTCCCATGTCTCCATTCGCGGTCTTGCCCTTTCACGCGTCGGCCCCTCCCTTTTCGCGCGTTGCGACACGTGTCGTCGTATTGCGGTTTGAGATCATCAACCAAGTCGCCGGGGCCATTGTTTCCAACAACAGTTGTAAATCGAGGAAAGAAAAGGTGCGTTCTCTCTCTCATTCTATCTCCCTTTCTCATCTCTCTTTGTCTCACTCCCCGT